CCGGGAAGGTGCAGAGAGAGGGGGGGGGTGTCTCCTACCATTCCTCCTCAAGTTCAGCCCCTGACATTATGTGACCCCTGAGCAAAGGAGATAAGTAACTATACAACCTTTAGAAGACATCTGAAGGCAGCCCTGTATAGGGAAGTTTTTAATGTTTGATGTTTTATTATGTTTTTATATCTGTTGAAAGCTGCCCAGTCAGATGGGCAGGGTACAAATACAATTAACAACAACAACAACCACAGAATACAGTGGTACCTCGGGTTACAGACGCTTTGGGTTACCAGGAAGTGGTTGCTTCAGGTTAAGAACGGAAATTGCACACCAGCGGCGCAGTGGCAGCAGGAGGCCCCATTAGCGAAAGCACGCTTTAGGTTAAGAACCGTTTCAGGTTAAGGAAGGACCTCTGGAACGAATTAAGTTCTCAACTTGAGGTACCACTGTACCCACAAGACAACATGGGTTGCAGCAGAAAAAAGGCTCCCCAGTCCTGCTCTGCGTGTTATGACATATTGTCCTTAAAGCAATGCTGGAAATTCTTCGTTTCTCGGTGCACATAGTATGTTTCATTGTACAAAATACTTCAAGATGCCATTGAGAGAGCACTTGAGACAAAATGGTAGCTAGTCATTCAGAAGTAGCTTTGAAGCCAGTTTTTGTTTTTTTTAAAAAAAATCTATACAGTGGTACCTCAGGTTAAGTACTGAATTCGTTCCGGAGGTCCGTTCTTAACCTGAAACTGTTCTTAACCTGAAGCACCACTTTAGCTAATGGGGCCTCCTGCTGCTGCGCCGCTGGAACACGATTTCTGTTCTCATCCTGAAGCAAAGTTCTTAACCCAAGGTACTATTTCTGGGTTAGCGGAGTCTGTAACCTGAAGCATATGTAACCTGAAACGTATGTAACCCGAGGTACCACTATATATATATATACTGTATTGCTTCATTGTAGTAAAACCTTTACAAGAAATATTAAAATTATCAATACAAAACAGTTAGAAACAACAGAAGTGAATACCCCTCATAGTCACTTGCATGGTGTCTGTTTCTGAACTCGAACGAACATACAAATTGTGGCAATTTCCATTCCCATTCCCAACAGAATTTCCTGACATCCTTACTCATGAGAGAATGTCACCCTTGGGCTGAAATATTTCCCTTCCCCTGCAATATTGTAAGGCTCAAAACACAACCAATGACCTACTTTCCTGGTTACAGATTATCTTACCTGTCCTATTATCCCCTTCCTAACACTATCTCCTCCATATCTTCCCCACAACCATGCATCAGTTAGCTCCTAGTGATGCTCGGCCCTCAATCCATTAAAATGACCAGGGTGCTGAGGAAGAGGCTGAAGCCATCTTCCAAACTTTGTAGTTGCCCCACCAAGCAGACAGACCACCTAGGCCAGACCTGGGGCTCACCAGTCATAGTGACAGGTACTTGGGAGGTTAGGCATCTGGGGCAGAGATTTAAATTGTATTGGTTCAAGAAGCCCTGCTAATCCAACAGGTTCATAATTCCAGGGCAGTTCGAATCTTATTTTTATTATTATTAAAGTTTAAAAGGGGAACAGAGTGCAGAGAAAGTTCAGACTTCAGAATAACAGCATTTTTCCAGGAAAGTGTTCTCTTTCATAACTCCTGCCCTCACCAGACTCCAAGATTCCTGAAGAAAACAGAGTCTAATCCAGCGTAATTTTAAACTCTCCCTGGTTTTCCAACAGGTGTAGTACATTTAGTTTTACACCCTGGCACAGCCTTATACTCTTGTGCCAGGGCACTGAAATAAATAAGCTCTCTTTCATGTGGCAAGCTATGACTGGCCTTAAGACATTTTATACTCTCAGCCTGGTTTGAGGATTTTTAAATATTTTTTATTTTAAAACAGCACACCAGTTAGGTAGGATAATAAGCCAGCAAGGCATTCCTAAAGTAGCCCAAGAAAGTGGTATAAGGTAGCTCTGCATTCAAAGGTTTGGTGAGGGGGCAATTTTTGGCAGAAAAATGACACAGGGAAACTCTCTCCCATTGCGTCATAGCCTGGATCCAGATTCTATCCTCCTCCCAAACTGCTTTTTTAAAAAATAAAATCAAAGGGACATGGGCAGTTCTAAGCATGTGCCATTTAAAACAATGAAAAAATAATAATTTTGAGATGTGAAAAAGTAAAAGGCAGTGATTGCAACCAGGAAACACAAAGCAAGTTGATAACGAATTCTGGGTCTCTTATATAAACTTCAATTGCAAACTTATAATTTCTATAAACAGAAAAATGTTGAGTTAAAGCCCTTCCATTTAAAGATTAGAGAGCTGTCTGAGAAATGGTGAGGCACAAATGATACTGTCTGAGGCCAGATGTTTATCTGAAGTTTGGTGGGTGTTCAATCTATAACTCAAGATTAAAGTTTTGCTAATCAGTTAGTGGTCAGTACATTTTGTGTAAGAAGTGTGTAAAAATGATAAGCTGAGTATATGTTTGCTATAATTAGGTGGTAGCAGAAGCTAAGATTTGTCAGAACTTCTAATTCAAAATTTAGAATCATAGAATTGTAGAGTTGGAAGGGACCTGGGAATCATCTAGTCCAACCCCCTGCAGTGCAGGGATAGGCAGGGATCGAACCCACAACCTTGGCATTATTAGCATCACTGAAACTATACATTGATAAACCCAGCAAAGCTTAAGCCCATAACAACAGAATCTCAAGACTTTGAGGGAGTTGTGGGATGCTTGAGATACTCGTACAAGCCTCCCTCTGCTGCAGCCAGGATTTCTGGCATCTTCGTGTTTCTGCTGAGGGAGCCCCCTTTGTTGGTCTTTTGCTTTGTCTCCCACAGAGTCAATAAAGGAGTCAGGAGGGAGCACAATCTTCCCTTTCTCTCGGCAAACCTATACAAGGACAGCCAAAAAGACAGCACTAAATCAGGAGCATGAATCGCACCAGTTGCGATGCTGTCACTGACTGATTGCTACAGCCAGCTAAACTTTGACCCAGCCAAATATTGTTGTGCCCCTCCTCCTTCACCAATACAGGCCAGTCTGTGTTAAGCCACTATTCTAATTCACTAGCATGTGAATTAAATAAATCTCACTTTACCAGGTGAGGTTTTCTTCATCCAATAGCAGAGCACTTATTGTAGTCTGTATATAGCTCCTTCCCAAGGCACCTCCTGCTGAATTGTATCCGTCTACCAAAACTCCTGCATTACACTTAGAAGTGAACAAGTTTGTAAGAACACATTGTTCCTTTACAATTTCTAAAGGATTGGTTGTGTAGTCCAGAGTAGCAGCAGACTTGCAGGGGCCAGCTGTCAAGGGACTCCGTCAAAATACAGCATTATAAATGTGTTATAGCACCAGATGGCGCTGTGGAGCTGAAATGACAACTCAATAATATTTTCAATTGTGAGCTTTATAACGGTTTTTTTGCAGAGAGTTTTTTATAGCTGTGTAGACCTAGCCAAGAACACAGTACAGTGGTACCTCGGGTTAAGAACTTAATTCATTCTGGAGGTCTGTTCTTAACCTGAAACTGTTCTTAACCTGAGGTACCACTTTAGCTAATGGGGCCTCCCGCTGCCACCGTACCGCCATCGTGCGATTTCTGTTCTCATCCTGAAGCAAAGTTCTTAACCCAGGGTACTATTTCTGGGTTAGTAGAGTCTGTATCCCGAGGTACCACTGTAGTAGTAGTCCATTTCCTGCATCAGCATGGGGTTGGACTAGATGAACCCTGAGGTCCCTTCCAGCTCTCTTTTTCTATGAAACCTCACAGTTGGCATTTGGCATGACACTCATTGAAAACCCTTTGTTTGTTTTCCAGTGTGGAGAGATCAAATGCAATAGCAGAGGGGTAGAATTTAGAATAACAAAAAGAAACAAACTTGTGCCAAAGAATTTGCAATAACCGATGCATACAGCGTAGCTCAGGCTGATGAAATGTGGAAGTACTTTATACAGTTGAAATAGTGATTATTTTGCCAAGGAATTCTGTCCCCATTGATTAAACTTTTTATGCCAAGCGGTACATCTTTACCAGGTTTGATGGTTTCCACCCCATCCCTTCCCCTCATCATTCACTCTCCTCCTCTTGAATCATCCAGCTCCCATTTTCAGTCTTCTCCTCATCTTGCCTGGAATGTGCCTGATATATGTCCCAGGGCAACAGAAATGTTCACAATCCACTTCTTTTTGTTTTGCTCATTGCTTACTGTGGGATGCCAGAACTCCCCCCAGACTTGGCTGGACATGAAATTGGTTGGGGAGAGATACACTGTCAACAAGTAGCAATAGCTTCTAGACCTTATTCAAGGGAACTGGGGGTCATGGAGGCGAGGAGGAAGTGGCCACAACCACTGGTGGAGAAAGGGGCTGCAGTAGGGGCAGCCTGCCCAGGGTGTCATCCCTGAAGGGGGCCGACATCGCCGCGCCACTCCCCTGGGACACTCACTGCGGGTGGCACCCTCCTGGGATGCTCACCCTACCCCCGGGTTCACAGCGTATGCACTGCTCTAGGTGCCGGAGCAGCTAGCTCCGCCTCTGGCCAGAACATCCAGGCTTTTCTTCAAATGCACCTGTTATGTATTGAAGTTCTCACCCTGGCCAAAAGGAATATCGTGTATGTAGTTTTCACTCAGGTCCATGTCAGTTACTTTAGGCGGGAAACCCTGGGTTGTTGTTGCTACAATGTTGACAGCTGGCTGCCTATAAAAGCAGGCCGGCGGAGCTGTTTGCTGTTCATTTCTGTTCCAGCTTACAAATAAAGAGCTGCTTTCAAGAAATCGCTGCGTCGTCTGCTATGTCTACCCACTATTCAACACTGGTGACGAGGATGGGATCAATGGACATCAGAGCACAGCCAGATGCAGCCACCCTCTGAGATGAGCTGAATCATGGAGCTGAAACACTGGGCGAAATCACGGAGCAGAACCAATTCAGAGCTGACCGTTCTGGCTAGAGCACTGTGTTCCATCCATCGCCCTCCACGTCGGCATCGGAACCATGGCTTCACTCGTGCCTCTATCGCCGTTTGCCCCAGCCTCTGAATCATGGGACTCCTACCTCGCTCGGTTCGACTGCTACCTCCAAGCAAATGAGCTTACAAGAGGGTCTGTAGAGCAGAAGCGGGGCCTCTTCCTCAGCCTTTGTGGCCCCGAAGTGTTCGCGACAGCCCGAGCATTGGTTGCGCCTCTAGCAGTCCAGGCAGAGCCATGGGACACGATTCAAGAGAAGCTCCGCAACCACTACACGCCAAAGATGGCTGCCCACCATGCATTCTACCACCGGAACCAGGCAGAGGGGGAGTCAATTAACAACTACACTGCCGCCCTCCGACAGGCTGCAATGCACTGTGAGTTCCGAGACTTAGATGATGCCCTGATGGATCGAATCGTCTGCGGGGTCCGGGACATCCGTCTGCAATGGCATCTCCTTGCCAAGCCAGACCTCACGCTGCAGAAAGCCATTGAGGAGGCCGTGGCCTCAGAAGCTGCTGAACTCTCCTCCCAGGAAATCCGCAAGGCCACCCGGACTCTGGTACTGGCCCTCGGCGATCCAGCTGCAGCTCTTATGAAAATTAGCAATCCTGGTAGAATCCAGTCATGAGGGAAGACCAAGTCTTGGATTCCACATGGTCAACCTACTATCGTTCCTTGAGCCCCAAAGGCACAGCCAGCCAAAAAACGGAGGGGGACATTTCCATGGAATACTAATGAGCTTTCCTCAACCTAATGCCTTCCATATGTTATTGGACTACAGTTCCCATCAGCCCCTGGTGGCATGGCCAATGGTCAGTGAAGGTGGGACTTGTGGGCCAACAAAGTTTGGAGGGCAGCAGGTTGAGGAAGGCTGGCCTAGACGAAGGAGACACTTCTCATCGGAAAGAAATGTGTCTGGTTGGCAGTAGCAGCTAGACCAGGGTTGTGTCCTCTGAAGCAAGAGATTAATCAAGAGAAGGGAAGGAAAGTTGCTAAAGTGCTGGCACACCCACCCATTTTGTGGCGTTATGCCTGTGAGTCACCAATACTGCTGTCTCTCACTTTTTAGAGTGCTTTTTTGAGGGAATAATAATAATAACTTGTAATCGATGGATTGATAATATTTTTTAAAATGACATGTCAACCTTTCCTCTTCTTTTGCTTCTCATAGAAAAAAAGTTATAGAATTGCATGTACAAGGATTAGCTATGTGAAGATGTGATGTCAGTACACTGTTAGTAGGGTCCCTGATTGGCTGGGGCAAAATCACACAACCTTGCTTACCTTTTCTGCATGTTTTTCCACTTCTGTTTGCATCTGTTTCTTTTCCAAATGTGCAGGTTTTGCATCATGAATTTAAAAAAAGTAGAGCCTTTGTCCTGAGTCAGCCCAAGTCAATCAGGGATCTCACCGACAACGCGTTGACCTCACATCATCACACAACCATTCAGATTTGGCTCAGACATTAGATTCCTGCCCTCATTCTGGATGTGGGAACATTTTCACCCCATTTTTCAAGCCCCTCAAATCATTCTGAAAAAAGACAGAAACACATACAGGCCATTCCAAGTCATCCTTAGTTGCATGTAGGATGCAAAGGCCCAGTAACCATGGGAAGGAAGCCACAAATCCAGGTGAGAAGAGAGGCAAAGAGGCAAGGTAACATCCCATAGAGACAGAAGTCTTGAAATGTTTGTACAGTTCCAATACAGCCATATATATACATAAACACACACACGGGTTTATAAAGAAAAATACAAAGATTACAGTGGTACCTCAGGTTAAGTACTTAATTCGTTCCGGAGGTCTGTTCTTAACCTGAAACTGTTCTTAACCTGAAGCACCACTTTAGCTAATGGGGCCTCCCACTGCTGCAACACTGCCGCTGCACGATTTCTGTCCTCATCCTGAAGCAAAGTTCTTAACCCGAGGTACTATTTCTGGGTTAGTGGAGTCTGTAACCTGAAGCGTTTGTAACCTGAAGCGTATGTAACCCGAGGTACCACTGTATTATCAAATATCTTTTTTATTTTGTCCAAATTTAATGTTTTAATTTGGCAAAAGGCAAAAAAAAAGAGAGAAAGAAAAGAGGAGAAAGGAAGAAATTAAGAAAGAGTATGAGAGAGATAAAGAAAAAGGAACAGAAAAAGATTTAAAAGAGAGGAGAGAAAGGTTAAGAAGCTAAAGAACAACTGATTCTTCGTCTGACCACTATATACAAACATTATTCACTCCATCCACTCCAGACTTTTCAAATTAAGCAATAGTTTTTGTGTGAGAGACAAATCTCATGGAAGTTGCCAGGATATAAAAGAGGGCAGTAAGTTAGACCTGAAATCAAAGAGCAGAACAGAACTGTGAAGTGATGTTGCAAATTACTGGAATTCAAATAAACCTGCAGTACACCTGATGATTTCCCCACAGAGATCATTTCTGTGTGGCAAAAAGCCAGGTATGACATCATTGAAGAAATGAGATGGACATGTTTGTTTTGCTACAACTTTAGGTAGATCATCTGTGTGCAGAGAGAGAGAGAAAATGTATAATAGCCATATGATACACTTCCCTTTAAATAAGTTGCCTTTAAAGATTTTGTTTTTTACATTGTCACAAAATGTACTTTCTTTAAAACATCAAGTCAGTGCATCTACAATCAGTTTAATTGTTCACATGTGGAGTGTAGTTTGTGTGCAGTTTCAGCAAGAACAATATGTGCCGGTTTTCACCTGCAGAAGAAACTATTCGGAATATTTCAGTATAGCCATGATTTTTGTTCCCGAATGGGCTGACAAGAATGCAATGAAAGAAATTCCCAGGCCTTGGTAGACAAACACAGCGTTCTTGATGTATGTCTGATCGTTGTTCAGTGCCTGAATAGCTGTAGCAACCTAGACATTCACAAGCCCTTCCTTAAGTACTCTTAGTTGCTTTTCTATTCATTGCAAAGCCCCGTGAATTTATTCAAAGGATTTTCAAGTCTTATCAACAGACTTCCCCTACAGTAGCACAAGTTGTCTATATTTCTCCCTAGAAAGTCTTCCCTTGGGAGTAAAAATCCAGAACTAATGGTGGAAGGTAAAACAAAATTGATAATATAATTCCTAAATCAAGGATTAAAAAAAACAAAGCAGTATATGCATACACTTAAAAAAGAAAATTATTTACAGTACGAAATAGCCATGATTTTCTGCATCTCCATTCTTGAAAAAGTTACTGATCCCAGGGGCCTGAGGATCACCCAGCAGATGCCACTCTGGGCAGCTTCCAGCAAAATATTAAAAAACAATAGTTCATCAAATATTAAAAGCTTCCCTAAACAGGGCTGCCTTCAGATGCCTTCTAAAAGTCAGTTGTTTATTTCTTTGACATCTGGTGGGAGGGCATTCCACAGGGTGGGCGCCACTACTGAGAAGACCCTCTGCCTGGTTCCCTGTAACTTCGCTTCTCGCAGTGAGGGAACCGCCAGAAGGCCCTCAGCCCTGGACCTCAAGTGTCCGGGCAGAACAATGGGGTGGAAATACTCCTTCAGGTATACTGGATAGGATTTTCAAGGGCCATTGGTCACAGAGACTATAGGGAATGTCCAATGTTTGGGGGGCAGCAGTTGTGGATCACTATTGCCTTCATGCTCTGTTGTGGGTTTTTGGTTGACTACTGTTAGAAAATAGGATGGGGACTAGATGGACCTTTGGTCTGTTCATGTATGGTTCTTCTTAGGTTCTTAACCAGACCTCACACCCTCCCGCTCAGTCCTTGTGGTGCACTGTGTTTGGGGTTTTTAATAGCTTAGCCTATAGGGGAGATAACAGGTGCCAGGTCCTAACTAGCGACAATGGATTAGATTTGATGAGTAACTAGTTCATTTCAATGTTTTGCTTCCATTAAATAGGCCTTCCAGGGCCTGGTCTTGACGAGTCCTCCTGCAATGGCCATAACTCTGGGGCTGGAGAAATGCCATTTGCCAGTTGTCTGACAGCACATGCAATTCCAAGGTCCCGTTCGCAAGTCAAGAAAGTTGTCATTGTATCCAATGAAGTGTACAGAATCAGGATTTATATGGTGTTGAGGCTGCCCTCAATGATTTGCTTGTGGGGTGGGGGGAAGATTTCCAGCCCACGAGCCAAGTTCCCAGGTCCAGATCAGTTGGTTAGTGCACACTAGGATAAAGTTAATATCGCACCGGATGATTGAGTTATCATTTGAAAGCCATTTTTCCCACAAACATAGAACTGCAGAATTTGCAAAGTTGGAAAGGACTTTGTGGTCATCAAACCAACCCATGTATCCGATAAATTGTCTAGACTCAAAATCTGCATGTGAGTGATATGTTTTAGTCAGCAAGTTGATCGAACCACTTCCTTGGGAAACCTCTTCCACTGCCAGTTGGTTGTAACATTTTTCTCTGCTATCCAGGCTAAATCTGCTGTTCTGCAGTTTGAGACTATGCATTGCATTGTCCCCTTAGATGCTGAGATAAACAGTTGCTCTCCCTTTTCTTGATGGTAGTGTTTTAGGTATCTGTGTGTGTCACTGGATGCTTCCCTTTACTTTCCCAGGAGGAGGAAACTGGAGGCCTCAATCAGCACAGAGCCACAGATTTGTGACTGTACTGCTGTTTGCAGCATATCGAAAACATTGCTTGCTTTAGAGTACACAAGGGCTGCCCCCTTATTAAAGACAAATTTATCATAGAATTTCATAAGTTCCAGTTGATTAATCAATCAGTTAAAGTTGCCTGAATTTGCATGGGAGTAAAAATTGTTCTGAAACAAAAGGCATCTCTTTTATATATAAGATGAGATACATACACAGGCATCTTCCCAGAACAGACACTCCTTGCTGCATGTGAGAGAAGGAATTGCCTGTTTTAAGGTGATGATTCTTTCTTTCACTGCATGTCATGTAAACACACTCACTACAATTAACCCCCACCCCATGTATTCAGTACATTATTCTGTACATAGGATGGTGTTTTATTTTTTGTAAGTGTTTGTGCTTATTTATTTTTGAAAAAAATACGCTGTCTGAGTTATTGGGGGCACTATTTTCGTCAATTGAAAGTACAAGTGGAACCTACAATAAAACGTTGCACTGTGGAATATGCTGGTTCAGGGTTCCAGCCAGCCATGCCATCCCCTTTTCCAGGATATTCCATTCCATTCCATGCCCTATTTCCTGCCCATCCTTCCTCGCGAGCAGTCAGAATTACATGGCCAGTGAGCATACTCAGTCCTGATTTGACACAGCAGATACCATTTTGGCTTCACTGGAGCCACACTCAGAGAATGGATTTGCTAGTAGCTAGGAAATGCCTTGCTCTGCTTTTCTTTGGACCACATCAGCGAGGCTGGGTGTGTGTTTTGGGTGTGTGTGTGTCAGGTCTTGTCGTCTAGGCAGCCCAGAACCTCTGTACACACTGGCCAGGTTTGCGCCGCAGAGAGGTCACTTCAGTGCTGATAACACAGCAAAAACAATGTGGGAAGCAGCAGTTACAAGTTACGGGTCTCTGCAACCCCAGCGGGTGCTGTGATTCTCCAGCAGTTTGACTTTCCCCCTAGAGGTTGCCTCTCGAAGCAGACGGATACCAACAACTACCCAAAAATGGGAAATGCAGGTCTCTATACAGTCGCACCTTGGAAGCCGAACGCCTTAAAAGTTGAACGTTTTGGCTCCCGAACGCCGCAAACCTGGAAGTGAGTGTTCTGGTTTGTGAACATTCTTTGGAACCCGAATTCTGCGGCTTCCAATTGAGTGCAGGAAGCTCCTGCAACCAATCAGAAGCCACGCCTTGGCTGTTGAACATTTTTGGAAGTTGAACGGACTTCGGGAACGGATTAAGTTCAAGAACCAAGGTACGGCTGTACTAAGATTCCAAAAGAGAAACATCTGTACATAGTTTTGTTCATGGACTGGAATGCATACTTGGAGTCAGAACATACAAAAGGGGCACTGATCCATTCCTAGGACAGGGGCATTTTGCTTGTTTTTCTGTCTGAGCAGCCACTTTAATATTGGACACCAATTTATTGCAATTTGTGAGAATATCAAAGACACTTTATTATGTTTGCATTCTTCACAGTATACACCTGCCAAGTAGGGCTGTTGTTGTTTTCTTAAGGGTAAAAAGAACACCCAAATAAAATCAACATGACAGAAAACTCCATGGTTTAAACTGACATGTCATCGCGAATCTCGGGCCGGCTCAGCCTCACCCAAGTGTTATTTTTGTGGTTATTGGTTTCTCATGTTCTTTCCACTGAGTTCTCTGAAGCCAACGCACGCCCCATCCTGCAAAATAACTGTGAAGGGAGGAGAAACAAAACACAACAACTACGTACTACAGCAAACGCACAAAATTCAAAGTAGACGCAAGGCTGCCTTTGGCACAGTTTTGACGTTTCTGTCCTCAACATTCCTCGAGGGATGGAGAAAAAGTTGAGGCACTTGTGTAACGTTGCAGCCAGAGCTATGCTGATCCATAACATACAAAAAAGCAACACAGGATGAACAATCAATATTGTTCATTCGACAACAGGGGGGATGCCAAGGGACCCTCTGGCAGATCTGGCCTCATGCATAATCCAGTCTGGACTGCTGCAATGCTCTCTCTGTGGAGCTGCCTTTAAAGACAGCTCAGATACAATGCATGGCTGTTCACCAGATGGTGATGGGACCATGATGGTCCAGAGCACATTACATCTGCCCTATAATAATTGTGTTGGTTGCCAATTTGCTTCCAAGCTCAATTTAAAGAGCCAGTAATAATGTTTAAAGCCCCAAATTTCCTGAAATAGGTTCCTGTCTTCCACTGCCTCCCGCAGTTTAGTCAAACTCATGTTGGTCACTGTTGAACCATCTCGTCCTCTGCCGTCCCCTTCTCCTTGTGCCCTCCATCTTTCCCACCATCAGGGTCTTTTCCAGGGAGTCTTCTCTTCTCATGAGGTGGCCAAAGTATTGGAGCCTCAGCTTCAGGATCTGTCCTTCCAGTGAGCACTCAGGGCTGATTTCCTTCAGAATGGAGAGGTTTGATCTTCTTGCAGTCCATGGGACTCTCAAGAGTCTCCTCCAGCACCATAATTCAAAAGCATCAATTCTTCGGCGATCAGCCTTCTTTATGGTCCAGCTCTCACTTCCATACATCACTCAGTATTTATTTATTTATCTACAGCATTTATATCCCACCTTACATACAATTCAGCCTTACATAGATTAAACTGTTACAGACTACCTAACTCTGAGGCAGACAGCAGCACAACACAACGTACCTGCTGCTCTAACTGTTAAGACTGTAGTACCAAGTGCCATAACTGTACCAACTGAAAATAACTGCCTCAAGCGTATGACATCGCAGAGTTCTACAGCTCATGCAATTGACCATTTACAATATGCATTTGGGATGCTAACATCTCACAGATTCTGACCAAAGCAAACCACACCCCAGCCACCTACTTCTGCCCCCAGGCAGATGTCAGTCAAGGGAGGTGCCACCTGTAACAGCTGCCCATGCTCCTGGTCCCTGGTGGAGCATCTTTTCCCACTGATGGGGACTGCGACTGCAAGTCCCCAAATCCCTGGCAGGAAGGTGATATCACCAACAATAAGAATGCAAGCAACACAGGGAATCTTTTGAGTATTCACTCTGATGCTCCAAAAAGGCATATTTTTCCTCCTGGGCAAACAGGAGTTGGATGTCCCCATCCCTATTGGATGCCTCATAGAGACATCTTATAAACTCTCATTTCAACAGAGTTAAACTTAAACAGACATGGTGGCTTATAGCCCTAAAAGACTTGGGCGCTGACAAATCCCAGCACTGCAGTTTTGCTTGTAGTTTCAGAAAAGATTAGATTTGTCATCAACACAAGTGTCTCAAATTAGTGTTCATGAATCACATATGTGTTGTATCACTTGAAATTTTCTTCCCATGGGACTCTTATGTGTCATCCTTTTATTAAAAGCGCGGGATAACCAGGTCATTATTTTCAATCTTTTTTCTTTCTTTCTTTTTTGCAAGAACCTCAAGACTCTGTTCCTCCGGCTCCCTCTGGTGTTCAGAAGGTAAAATAGCAGAGCAGGGATACCTAAATGTTCCATCACTGCGAATCTTTTTCTTTTTCTTTATGTTCTGGTCTCCTCTTTCAGTTAATATTACACCCCACTGCACATGCAAATAATATTTTTGTGGGGTGGGGGCAGCCTGTCTTGAAGACAAAGAAAAATAATACTTATTTCTCAAGTTTGATAATTTTTTCCTACATAATTTTTGGGAGTGGGGAGAAAAATAAAAAAGTAAATGAGGAGAGTCACATACGCCACCTTGAACTTCCTGGAGAAATAGGTGGGATATAAATGCCGTAGATAAATAAATAAATACTGCTGATCTTCTTGTGGAGACTACAGAGAGCAAGTATTCTTTTGCCGTAGTGGTTGAATGGGGAGTGGCTTTGGGTTGTTGTTTTTATTTTTATTATGTACTTTGTGGTTTTATATCAAGCATAGGCAAACTCAGCCCTCCAGATGTTTTGGGACTACAACTCCCATCATCCCTAGCAAACAGGACCAGTGGTCAGGGATGATGGGAATTGTAGTCTCAAAACATCTGGAGGGCCGAGTTTGCTTATGCCTGTTTTCTATCTTGGTTTTATTCTGTGAACTGCCTTGAGACTCCTGGGTATAGAGTGGTATATAATTTCAATTAATGATGATGATGATGATGATGATGATGATGATGGAGGGGGAGATGAAAATATTTTTTCTAGGTTAAAGACACCTTTCAGCTTGTACAACCTGAAGGTGTGGGCGACCTTGTGATGCACCCTAAGACAGATGGAAAGAGGACAACCTGTGTGGTTCTTCATGTGCCTGCCCGGTCCAGCTATAAATGAATGCGTTGAAAGGGTCGTTTTGGGGAAGGGTTCAAAATGGGGCTGGTAATTAAGTACCCTGAATAACAGAGAGAGAGAGGGTTCAGCTCCTTTCGCCCATGTGCCCCACTGGAATCAATATGGTTAATTTGATGAAAACTAATAAATGAATAGAGAAACCTTTTCACATGACAGACACAAAACCCTGCACATACGCTATGCAAAAGAAGGAAACATCTTAACCCCACCTTCCTTTCTCCCACCTCTCTCTCCCAATATCTTTCTTCCCCTCCCAACCTCACAATGCCTATGATAGCAATGTCCCGCACCAAATGTCACTGACTCTATGAACTGAAAACAGAGATGTTATAGGTACCTTTGTTATCCATGAAAAGCTTTTAAGAAAAGCAATTAATAAAAAGAAAGAAACCAGAGCGGGGGGTGTATGCAATCTCCCTCTTTATATATGCATGAGAAAACAAACAAGAATCCCTCGATCACATTGAGTTTAGGAAGCAGGCTAACGCAGGCTGAAATTCCACCGACACAGATATACAGCAACATGTTGGTTTCCCAAGTAACAAAGCAGGGTGCACGCAGGCTATTTTTAACTCCTTTGAGTGGGTGCTATTTGGTCTAAACTACTGATGGTAATATAGTTAGACACATGGAGGAGGGAGAACCAAAAGCATAATGCTTAATGGAATGGATGGAAAGCTCAACTCACTTGTTCAATCACCCATAAAACCTATGCATGGATACAGCGGCGGAGCAAGCCGATCGGGGCAAGCCAAGGCCAGAGTCTGCCTGCTTCCTCCCACTCAGCCACCAAGGGCCGGATTTAGATGAAGAGAGGCCCTTGGCTACTCCACTTATGAGGCCCCTCCCCATCCCCCACCCTCACAACTACAAGAAAATGGAAGAGTGTTATAAACAAAATTGAGTGAAGCAAAGGATGATGACGGGTATTTAAAATTCTACAATTCACAATTTCTCATCGAAAGGACATAAGATATTATTGTTAAATACCACGGTGATTTTAAAAAAATGCATAAAACTAACACTGAAAAACTTTTGCAATAACTCAACTTTGTAAACCTTTTGTGGCCTAGGCAGGCCTGGAACTAGTTCCCATGTCTTGTTCCTCCCTAAGGAATCAAGTTCAGCCTTCATGGCTGAAATATACTCAGAGTCGCAAAGTGATTTCATGCTCTTTATTCAGCTCATAGTGGTGAGGAGGAATGAATGAAAGTCCCCTCACAGTATCTGCTTTATATACATTATTTACACAATGGGCTGCACATGATTGGCTAATTCCGGAATTCTACTGTAAGCCAATCAGGTTGTGGATTCACTTCTATCTGGAGCAGGATTGGGTGGTTCCTGCCAACCAATCATACTGCTGCATTGTTCTAGGACCAATCAGACTGCTGCATTCTGAATCCTATTGTTCTAGGACCAATCAGACTGCTGCATTTTGGATCCTATTGTTCTAGGACCAATCAGACTGCTGCAGTTTGGATCCTATTCAACTCAGTACATAACAATGGCATTTGACCATGGCTCAGCATCCTCTTGGAAACTTGAAGGTTCCCAAACCTTTTCTGAGTACTACTAACCTATTAACAACAGCTGTATCTGCTATGACTGTTTTAGCAAACTCTTCAGCATACCTTTTGGGTGGTTTACCCTTTGTGGTCCTTTCAGATCTGCGTACTATACACAAGTCTTCCATGCTGCGCAGGCCGGAGGCCTGGGCAGGCAGGGTCGTCCTCTTATATACCTGCTGGGATTGACAAGGCATCTGACCCTCACCTGAATCTCATAGCTCTCCTGTAGTCACCTCTGATTAGTTATCATTTAATTCTTGGGGGAAATAATTAGCATCACACGTCATGTGCATAGAAATTACCTAACCAATTAACCAACTAGAAGAATTACTGTTAATAGCACCAGTTTTCCTATAACTTAATATTGCTGGATAGTTCTGATGAACTGCAAAAGCATTTTTAGTTTGCTTTCTGTTGCCACCCTGGAACTTTTCTTTATTAGTGCCACTTTGTTTTGTACGATTCCTTGCAAATGAAGGAAAACAACTTTTCTCCTTGTATATGTTGATAATATGTTTTTGGTTACTGAGAACAAACAAGACTGTACATAAACAAGATTGGGTGCAGGCCTGGCCAGGACATAGGCGTGACACACCTGTGACAAAGGTGACCTGTGTGCTTGCTTGTTTGATTAACAGCTGTTGGGAACTTCAAGGTCCCTGCTCTCCCCTCTTATGGTCTTTATATTGGACCTGGAGACTCCAATAGAGAGCATTCCATGTCAAGAAGGAGGGCAAGTGGGCACCCTATCAAATGACAAGGCAGGAGCTACATGGAGCAGGGCCTTTTCACTGGTGGTGCCCATTGTATGGCTCGCTCTTTCCAAACCTGCTCTCTTTTGGCCTGTATTTTGGAGCTTTATAATCTAGGAAGACTTTGGAATAACAGGTTGACAAGTCTTATCGGTCGCTGACATATGAGCGGAATTTATTTGCTGTTATTCTGGGTTCCTGGTGCACGAGGGTTTACACCAGCGTAATAGAGTTGGCCAGGACAAAACAAGGAATACGATTTATGAGCTTTATCCATTATCTGCACAGAAGGGAGTGTTCAGTCAACAGTGCAAAGGCTGAGCTGAAGCGTTTCCTGCTGGTTACCTGCTTTCAGTAATAGGTCGCTGTTTGGTAGTACCCAATTGGTTAGCTGTCAGATTCTAGAGCTCCTTATTGGTGGCTCTTAGGTAATTCCAAAAATACAGAGTCCATTAATTAAACACAGTGTTCATTCATAAAGCAGTAACATAAATCTCCATTGCTACATATTAGGTGTGTATTTCAGCGGTTGAACGTACAGCTTTATGGCCATGCTGTAGTGTAGTGCTTATGCAACTGTGAATAAAAGGTGGCTGGGCTCATCGTCCCAGGGTTTGGGGGGGGGAGGTGACAAAACTGATTTCCAATAAGTGCCCCCCCCCATTTCCATTACAAGTCATTGAGTCTGTACTCTGAATAGTGGCACCAGGGACCTAGATGGTGCAGGGCTTGTCAGTCCAACCCCTGCACAGACTCATCAGGACTGACCTTAAGGCAATTGGAACAATTGGGCCAAATTGTGCCCTGCGGGCTGCTCCTAAAGGGACCCCCATGTTAGGATATTTCCGTTCCACCTTAAAAGGGAGCAGGCTTTGTGAGTCAGAGTCTGCGTATTTCCTGTTCACAGGATGTTTATGTTTTCTGTTGCTTTCGTTTTCTCTCTGGTGTCGCAGACACTAAATCAGCAGGCAGTCATGTTTTTCTGTGTTCTGATCAACGCTGAATAAACTTGTAAATAATGCTCTCCTGACTGCAACTTTTGGCTGTGCATTATCTGCTGATAGAGCGTGCATGAGCTCTAGAATGTGGCAA